GAAATATCTATGATGACAAATGCAATTTGAACATTAAAACGACTCGATAATATTACTTTTATGTGATTTTACATATTCATTCGTAGTATGTGATGGTTTTTTATTTTTTCCTATATTAACGCAAGCCTACCTATCATGACAATGAACATATAACTGTGAGAGCGCGGTTTGCTTTTGTCACAAAGTACGTATATTTTGGAAAACAATTACTTTCAAGGGCTCTCTCCTAGCCTGAGTGAAATTCTAGTAAGTATAGTTATATGAAATTTTCATATAACTATACTTTCCAGTATTTCTTCAAATTGTTTCCTAAAGGTTTCGTTTCTTCATTACTGATATCTCGATGCAAGGTGAACTTAAAATACAACAAATATTGTGAAATACACATTAAATAATAAATAGGACGTCACCATGTCATCGACAGAATTAACACTGACATGTTTGTGACAAATCCGTTAAAATTAAAAAATTAGGGCAATTCAGCTGTTCTGTCATAATAAATACACATGGGGATGTCATGGTGATCTAAAATCGCCTTTCAATCTTCGTAAACGTCTCTATTAACAACGTGCCTCGTGTCAACAAAGGGACATCACAGTCACAACTTGATCAACCATCTACCACTAAAATCCTAAAGTGCGTGAAGATTCCGATTTTCAAGTTAGACAATACATATCATGCACAGTTTCAATAAATAATTTGCTGGATAAAAGGTAAATTGAGGTTTACTTATGTTTAAAAAACAATTGTGCTTTTTTAGGTGTAATCTATTGCCTTTCTGCTACAATGGTAGTTTCGTCCCTGGGTTTGTCAGCACTTGCTCGTGTGTTGCACCAAAGTGGTAAACGTCTACGACCCGCACCACTTTTACTCGCTTTAAGATGACACACTGTGATATAAAGTGTTGTTCAAAGTGGCATAGAGCACACGGCTGTGATGTCAAATAACTGTTACATCGGCGTTAAAACACTAACTCACTAACTCACTCACAATTATGATAGGTAAACATGACGTTGAACCAACAAGTCACCGACCTCTGACCATCCGACCCGTTTGGTCGCCTATTACGACCAGAACACATAAAGTTGCTGGGGACCTGTTCTAAGTCGAATCTCCAGAGTAGTGAACGTTGTGTCACGAATCCTGTCAGTCGTAAAGAACTGGAATAGAAAGTATAATCATGTCATAGTGTGACTGTGAAGTTGACGTTGTCATAGCACAGACTAACTGACTGACTTCTAGTCAGTGTCTGGAGTGATTATACATGTACAAACAGATGGCGTCGGTCGGTAAAGTCTGAGACAGTAAGGGGATAATTAGGAGATAAACACAGTATGTTTATCTCCATTCTACTATGACTAAATAAAGCGCGAACTCTTTGGTGTTAGCAAATATACTGAACAACAAAAGTTACTGTGACATTGAATAAGATTGATATGCAAAGTTATGTTTTTTACCAAATCTGAAACAATTTCGGTTTGCAACAGATAAAAGACTCCTGTAAGTGTTCAAATAGTTTAATTTGACATACTGACTTCAGAAAATGCGTGATTTCATAAAAACAACAAACCCATGAACATGCCAAAATGTCAATTTACAAATCAATAGCGTGTGTGTCCACCTTTGGTTGCGATGCAAGCAACACATCTTCGTCTCATGGAATGGACCAGGCGTCGCACAAAGTCCTGTGGGATATCTATCCATATCTGCTGGAACATGTTTCGGAGTTTGTGGCATGTAGTGTCTGTGGAACACGTGGTTGACGTCGAAGGGGCCGATCCGTCTCATCCCACATGTGCTCGATTGATGAGAGATCAGGGGAGCGAGCCGGCCAGGGGATGTTTCAACGTTGTTTTGTTGAAGAGAATCCTGAACAAGTCGAGCAATATGAGGCCGGGCGTTGTCATGGTGAAAGGTAATGCCTGGGCCATGACGACGCAAAAAACGGTAGAACAACAGGGCCGATGATCTCGTCGCGGTAGCGCTGTCCATTGAGATTTCCCTCTACCACTATCAAACCAGTTCTGTGTCTTGCTGTAATCCCAAACCATACCATAACGCTGCCCCCCCGAACCGATCTTCTTCCATGACACAATGATTGATGAAACGTTCACCTCGACGTCGATACACTGTGGCTGAGGTGAAAACGAGACTGGTTAGTGAATAGAACTTGTCCCCACTGCATGGCCGCCCAGCTGTCTGCACCACGGTAGACGTGCTTGACGGTGGTTTCCTGTCAAAATGGGACGTCTGGCGGGTCTTTAGACAACAATCCCTGCACATCTGAGGCGGCGACGTTCGGCTTGTGAAGATATTCGTCGAAGGGCAGGCATGCTGCTTGCAGCCACTGTTGCTGGCTGGAATCGATTTCGCAGGTGTTTTGTTCGAATCCAGTTGTCTTGTCGATTATTTGTTACGAATAGGCTGCCACTCCGAGGATGGTCTCTGACTGCATTCGTCTGTTGCCAACGTTGCCATAAACACCAATTAGTGTTTCTGTGGACGTTAACTTTTCTTGCTTCTTCGATCCTGCTTCAAGCATACCAATGGTTCGCAGACGCTCAATTTCGGACTGGCGTGGCATTTCGAAATGTTGTTGTTTTTCTGAGTGGTTGTTGTCAGCTCGATACTAAACAATGCATATGGAATCCCGTTAACGCACATGTTTTTATACCCATTCTTGGGTAGTGAAATGCATGGGGCTTGCATAAAAGTCAACTTTTGCATGGAATGCATGCTTTTCTGTAGCAGTTGCGTTTTTGTGACTTGATTCCACACATGTACTACAATATTGAAAACCACTAAAATATTGGTGTCACAGGAACTGTTGAGTATATTTTGAGTGAAGCGGCATGGGTTGAGTCCAGTGTTTTTTAAGTGGGTTGTCGATCTGAATTACGGAATTACCGACCACAGCCTGTTAACAAAATACGGCGCTGTATATGCTCAAGCAGTTTGTTTACACGGAAATACTTCACTCGAACACGTGAGCACATAAGAACGGCATCTCGGTTAGCTAACATGAGGTAGGCATGCCTCAAGAAAACTAAGCAAGCTTTGCAAGGCTTTCTTTCTACACCACACGTCATATAGCTCATTGTGACGCAAAAGATATGACGTCACAGTCGTATATAGAAAAGCGCCAAATTCCAAGCTCTCGGTTCTCTCCAAAACGTAAATACATTTTTGTAGATTTCTGTCGAGTTTTCTGCACGAAATGTATTGCCACACATCCTTTAAATATTATAGTAACCGTATCTGTGCATTTTTTAACCTGCAATTGTAGGTATAATTATTTAAATACCGACTATGACTGAAAAAGTACTATTCTATGAATAAAAGCGTCCGCGGTGATTCTGCTGTCAAACCAGCTGTTTCAATCAGAGGGGGTTTATTGTGATTTAATAGCCTCTGATTGACCAATCACAACCGAGTAATTTCCACATTTATGGTAGAATCACGATTCATTATCTGTAACGAGGTCAGACTTCCAATGAACAATACGATGCCGGGAGGGACGAAGCCTGCAGCAACAAGGTTGTAATAAAGCGTTTTGATGACAGTGTGCTGTAACAGTTGATCATATTGTGCATATTTATAATGTGCCAAATCCACACCCTATTGCATGTTCAAAGGGCAACATTGTTACCCGGGTCAGTGGATCAGTGTGCACCCGATTTTCATTCTCAGCTCCCTGGGGATTATATAACCCATCCTGCCTGAACAGATGGGGAACAGAGGCATGTGCTTCAGTGTCAGAGAAACTCTCAGGAGTCAAACTGCCGTACCCGTTACCCACCCAACTACTATCCGCGGCCAACGTCACTTCACGTGGATGTTACCTGTGCGCTGTAGACAGGGCCACGTGCAACCACAATGTGTTGTTACAGTTTGTATGAATATTCCATCATCAAACGACGACAGAAGTAAAACAAGCGGTACTATGAATAGAACTGAAGTGTTCTTTCCAGTTGTGCCTTGTACACAAGTCGTCTGAAACTACTGGACAGAATGCCCCAATCACAGGGACATCTACTGTTCTCGGACATACTTTATGGAGCAAAGGAAGTGAGTTGATGCATTCTTTACGCCCAGAATGACAAGACAAGGCAGAGGAGACGAGAGGTGGCGGTTCTTGGTTGATTGGTTTGCTGTTTAACGCCGTATTCAGCAATATTCAAGCTATATGACGGCGGTCTGTAAATAATCGAGTCTGGACCAGACAATCCAGTGATTGACGTCATAGGCATCGATCTACGCAATTGGGATCGATGACCTGCATCAACCAAGTCAGCGAGCCTGACCACCCGATCCCGTTAGTCGCCTTTTACGACAAGCATAGTCGCCTTTTACGGCACGCATGGGTTGTTGAAGACCTATTCTACCCCAGATCTTCACGGGTCTGTGGTGGCGGTTATTGACCCTTTACCATTCCTTGTATCAGTTCGTTTTTTTCAGTTCTGAAAAGAACCAGAAGCTAACATCCTCAACCAGCAAACCCCACAAACCTCACCTATATCGGTAGATCGAGTACCAGAATTTGTTGAGACAGTTGAAGCAAGATGATATCACAAGCTTTATTTATGAGGACGGAATGTCACTGTTTCTCGCACCGCACAGTCAGATGGTAGCAGGGTGTACAGGTTACCACGTTGGGTCAATGCTGATATCTTTAAAGATAAAACAACGACATTAAGCAAAGTGGGTGGCTGGCGATTAAGGTCCAAGTAGGAGTAAGATGATGTTAATAGACTCAGTACTGTGTGTACTTTGTGTATATATTTCGATTTATTGTGTCTCACTTATTACCATGTAAAATCTATTGTGTAAACAACGAAAGAGATTAACCAGTCTAAACAGATTCCATTCTAAACCAGTTGCATTAAAGGAACATATAAATCAATCTGCGACAATGGCGTGAAATGAATAAACGTGTCAAATGATTTGCATATGTGTGTGCCACAGACCAGTCATGATGTAGATGGTATGTATTATTTCAGGATACGAAGGAAGGTGCATTCCTGATTGAAGTGCAAGACAGACCACTTCCCACAACAACTTCCAAACCACTTGTTATTGGAGGGAAGAGTTCTATTGTCTACAGGGTGACCTGCATTCCCGATACAGACGGAGATCCGGTAAATGTAACAATGATGCCTGCAGTGGGGTGAGTTATAAGACAGCGAGGGAAATCGGCTGTACACTTGTTGCTCATTCGCCTTTTGTTATATCCATATAAGCTGCAGAACACATGTCTGAGTGCCACAAACACTCCAGGTTTACATTTCACGAAACAACTTCAAGTAGGTCCAGGGCCGGCACACGATCTTTTGTCGAAACGTCCATATTGCACACTCAATAGTTTAACTTGTTTGTATTATTGATCAATCACTGAGGTGAGGTGAGGTGAGGTGACGTAAATGGGGTTTAACGACGCGTCCATGCACGTGTGTGTGTGGCTGCTAGTACTAGTCCGGACTTACGCCGGTTTTACAGTGCTATCCCAATGAGATTCCCAACTCAGACACTCCGAGCCGATAAGTCCTTGTTTTCTCTCCTCAATGCCGATCGCCAAGCAGGTTCACAACCAGTACCATCTTTTAGCCTCTTTAGGTATGACGTAGCCGGGGATCGAACCTGCGACCTTCCGCTGACAGATTTTAGAGAGCACCTGTAGAGTGAAATATCACATGTCTTCCTACTATAAACTTTAACAATGTAAACAATTTCCGGTATCACCGACATGTGATTTCACAGAAGATATATGATATAAATTTATCACAACGCTCACATCAGGGAGAGGACAATCTATATTAGAACAATCCCCTTTCACTTCATGTGAAGAAATATGTTTGAATCAAATCACCGGCCACTAGTCGGCCTGTTGTTGGCCCTGTGTCCCTCGGCGGAGTGAAATACCAGCAGTGTACACCTGACTTCCACTCACTCAGTATGACATCTCTTTGAAAAGTTACAATATTCCAGTTTTATCACAGCGTGTCAGCTTATGTTGGAGGAATTCGGTGAAGCCCACAAGCCCGGGTATGGTGCTGACAAACATAGAAACATTATCAGGGCGAACCGGGGTTCGAACCACGATCACAGGTGTCTGGCGTGCCTAAGGGACGCAACTCTGCAAGGCGAATTGCGCGCTTTAGACGACTTGGTCACCTGTGCCTCCGTATGTAAACGGCCACGAAGCATGGCTTCAGCCTGTATAAGTCCCGTGCCAAAATTCGCAATGTCAGCCCGAAGAGATGCATGTCTCAGACATTTACCACTTCGGTGAAACCCACCAGCACGGTATGGTGCTGACAAACCTAGAAACATAATCACAGGTTTCTGGCATACCAAAGGGACACAACTCATAAGCTTGATAATAAACTTGTTGAACGTTACCTGCTGGATGAAGTTCTCACTGCGTTTGCTTGTGACAATTAGCACAAAGAATTGTATTGATGGACACATAGTGCGTTTGTTGTATTGCGTACACACCACGTATAACCCACAGTAAGTGGCTTTTATTCCAATCCTAGGTTTGTTTGTTGAATTTAAGTCTGATGCCTGTGTTGCAATAATGCACACGACGTACATATCAATTATTCTGTAGGGAGGCGAAGTCAAAGCTTTTAGTTTTGAGATAATTCTTAACGATATTTTAGTGAAATCTTTATTAGATACAAATATTATATATCACGCTACACACATGTATAATCTCATTTCAGTGTCAAGGCAAATGCCTCAGAGCTGGTGCTGCCCGACCTCCAGATAGGCATCTTTGCCAAGTCTGAGACCGCAACTCCTAATATGACAACACAGCTACCCTCATTGACCTTGGCCAGTGAAGTGCAGCTAGTTATTTACAATGATCTCAGTAAGTCAAGCGTGTGGGTGAGTTAAAAGTTAACGTCATCACGGCAACAACTTAGCCATAATTGTCTATTTGTAGACAGTTTTCACCGGAAAAGTCAATATCACACATTTTATCATATAACTAGAAAGATCAAAAGTAAAACATGTCTAACATGGCTAGGTGATTGATGCAAAGAATGATAGTTGGTGCAATTCCACATCATCAAGCAAACCATCAACGAATTCATGAAGTTCATTAAAACGTACTTGAGTGTCTTGACTATCATGACATCGTGGTTTCCAAGAGCTGCTCTTCCTACCATATCAACATATCTAAATGTTCAAGAGACATGTGTTAGTGACTGAAGACCCTAAAGAACAGGAAAAGACCGTTCACAATGTTTACGTGTATGTTGTTGAATATATGACAACACTGTTAAGTAGAATAGAGCAGCCGGTATCTGTGTGTTTTTAGTATTGTACCATATAACTGAGTTCCCAGTATGTGTCTTCGTTAACTGTGCAGCCACCACCTGGAACTATCCTCCTGAAATTGTGACGTCCTTGTAGGTTATGAGGCCCCTCCTGCAATGGCATGTAGAGGTCGTGCTTAGTAGCGGGGAGTTGTATAGTTGGGGAACCTTGAAAGGAGACAGAAATCGTGACCACAGTGTGTGTTGACGTGATTCCGTTTATTAATGGTGGTGGTTAGGACTTGTGCGTTTCCGCCATATAAACTCCTTAACCCCGGAACACTGTATGTCATCAAGTGCCAGGATCACCGTTTCCATAATTTAGAATTTAGAATTAAGCTAAATAAATTTATTTTATAACAATAATTACTTATAGCACGGTAACACTTCTTATGAGGGTTGGCCTGCTTTAACTTGGGCTATAGTGTTTTCTCTCTTGCCATGTGATGAACCTTGATCAGAGCCTTAATGTTAACCAAAGACGGTTTAGATTTATACTGGAAATGGTTCTCCAAGAGAGGAGAAAGGTCCCTATTGATAAAACAATTTTGTTCTTGGTTTAACTGAATTTAATAGATTGAAAGTATGTGTTTTTAGTAAATATAAAATAGGGTGTATTTAGCGGATACTCATCACCCTCAACTTGCAGGGTGATGTCCTCTAGACTCCGAAATAGAGCATTCTATTGTATGGGGACCCGGTGTTCGATTCATCACAATTTAATACAATATGTGAAGCCCATTTTCCGTTATATTGCTGGAATACTGCTAAAAGCGGCGTAAAACCATACTCACTCACTGTTATTGTTACATGATTTTACAAAATCAGCCGTAAACAAGACTGAGCAACAACATCTCAATTTGGAGAAGAGTCACGTGGTGATACAAATAACAGTGACGAGTCTGACATTCCTTTATAAGTGATGAATCAGTTTTAAATGGCTATTTCTGAATACAAAAGAGGGTTGTGCAAGTTGTTCAAGACGTCAAAGGGAGAGTGTGGTATATGTCAGATCAAACTAAGATGAAAAAAACCACATGCGCAGGAGTAAATAAAGATGCACACAGTAACTGCTGGTTGCTTTTGTGCATGACGTCACCGTCTTCATACTGCTCAGGTTAAGAAATATCACGGGAATAAAATAAGGTTCAAAGTTAGACAGAAATGTGTTTCCAATAACTAAAATCAACCATTTTTAAAATTAGTAAGTTTCTGACACGATGCCATATTAAACGAGAGCAGAGAGTTCTTCCAATCTTAGAATCATTTCCAGTGTTTTTGAAATGGTGACAAATTCTCACCGTTCTCCTTTTAATGAGGAGCAAATCATTATATATATATATATACTTCTGAAGATTTTGTTAACCTTTTGGTATAACGTTGGTTGGTTTGTTGTTTTACGCCGCACTCAGCAATATTCCAGCTATATGACGGCGGTCTGTAAATATTCGAGTCTGGACCAGACAATCCAGTGATTCATATCATGATCATCGATCCAAGCAATTGGGATCGATGACCTGCATCAACCAAGTCAGCGAGCCTGACCAACCGATCCCGTTAGTCGCCTTTTACGACAAGCATAGTCGCCTTTTACGGCAAGAATGGGTTGCTGAAGACCTATTCTATCCCAGATCTTCACGGGACTTTTGTTGTAACGATTTGTTTTCCAAATCCACAGGCAGATGGACCCAAACTATTTTTTGTTGAAAGTAAACAAATGTACCCCCAATACTCGGTGGAAAAGCAACAGTTTTCAGTCGACGGTTTCGTGCATACGGTAATAGAGCGGAATACCCTGATGTTAACATAATCTGTCTTTGCTCCTCTTTATGATTGGATACATTGTTTAAATAAATGAATTTTTCATTCGAGCTAATCGATATCATATACTTGAGATACGTACATACGTGTATTATTTGTTCAACAGAAGGAGACAGAATGTCCTACATGCTGATCCCGTCCAAGTGCGTGGCCCACCCGCAGAATCAGCCGACCGTGACGCTAACATTGTTGAATGACAATAAGACAAAGTACATACACAGTTATAATAAAGTATTTGTTTCATTTTGAGACGCTGTTATACCAGCGTCTCAAAATGAAACAAATACATTTTTCAGTCTACTGTCAAGCTACTTTGTAATATATCATTTTAATTTTGTTCCACTGAACAAAAATACATTTCACCATAAGATTAGTTTCTGAATTCGTTCACAACGTCATCACACTGATCTGAAAAAAGAGAAGTTTAAATCTTCTCATTGACTTATATAATCGTATTATAGAAAACAACATTAGAATTATATAACTTAAAAGAACTTGCAATCAAACTATTTGTATAAAAGTACTGACAAACAACTAAACAACTAAACATCTACCTTATTTTGTCAAAGCACTTCTCGAATTACGGTAATCTGGTTATATACTAACTGCATGTATTCATGACACAGCTGTACCTATGAAAACACACTGATGAGCACCTTCACCGTAACAAACACCACGGACTACGACCTTGCCTATGCTACACTGTACCCCTTCACGTTTCAACGCTACCCTGACTCGCGCGTTGTGCTGGAGTGTACGGTGTACATCTGTCCGAAGGATGATAAAGTTGATGGTGTACGATCCGGTTACTGCGACAAAACGGTAAGTAAACCTTTATTACATTGTATATTAATGAAGTTACTGTAACCAACGAAATAAAACTATAGTTATGAAATGGGCACATACAGCAGTAAGACAAATTCACTGTTAATAACAGAACTATGTCTATACAGTGTCTCGCTGGTGCAGTTGATATACTGTGTTGATAATTAACCATGTGGGCATTCCAGGTCATAGCATCTTCCCGAGGCAAGGGAGATAACTGACTATTAAAGTCCAGTTTCCACGAATGTCATTTATTCATGTCTTGCGTTACAACTGGTTAAAGGTCTCTGTTGGAACTGCATTTCGGCACGCGGCAACACAATATACCCCAGACACATGTGTCTTTTTTATAATAGTTTTATTTAATCAAAACATGTATGCTCTTCCTTAATAAGGTGAGACTTACACTTACAAGTGCTTTATTTGATGAACATATTTTGTTTGACAAGTATTTATAAATATGCACATCTGCACCATGTCAAGTTATGGAAACGTTTCTCAGTCAGGTATTGAACACATGTACCCGTTACGGCGGAGTGACGGGAGTTTGTCCTAGGTTGTCAAAGTGGGCGTGGCTTAGGCTTTGGAGGCGGGGCATAGTGGGTCAGAGATTGGAGATGGTGTTTTATTTCCGGACGAGAAGCAGATTCAACCTGTTACTGATGGATGCGTGCTTATTCCCGTAGAGGTCATATACTGTCTTCAATTGGCATCCTGGAGATGTGATGGTATGGTGGGAATTTCGGTGAAAAAAAGAAACAAGACTAGTGGTAATTAATCCCTGGCAACAAATATCCTGGGCTAGAAGTCCGGGGTTAGAAAAAGCCCTGTAAAGCATCCTCTAAAACCATTAGAATAGGTAGCTCGATTAGCGGATGTCCTACCGCGCGTGAGCAGAAGATTGTTGTTAGTATACGACGTCTCGGTTTGATATACGGTATTGACGCATCATCTGTGTAGATTATGTGTGCGGAGAAGCGATCCGGAGTGTTTGGTCGTTTTTACCGTAGTCGCGAAACATTTTTTGGGTGTTTTTTTTGTATTTTAACGCCACACTCAGCAATATTCCACCGATCCGCGGTCTGTGAATAATCGAGTTTGGACCAGAGAGTCCAGTGATTGACATCGTGGACATCCCGATGCCGTTAGTCGTTGTAGGGGTGGTAGTAGTAGTAGAAGTGGTATTGTGGTTGTTGTAGTAGTAGTAGTAATAGTTGTAATAGTAGTAGTAGTAGTAGTAGTAGTGTTGTTAGTGGCAGGGCTGGTCGTAATAGTAGAAGTAGTGTTAGTGGTGGTAGTTGTTGTAGTAGTAGTAGTAGTAGGAGTAATAGTGGTTGTATTGTTAGTGGCAGGGCTGGTCGTAGTAGTAGTAGTAGTGGTAGGGGTGGTAGTAGTGGTAGGGGTGGTAGTAGTAGTAGTAGTGGTAGGGGTAGTAGCAGTAGTAGTAGTAGTAGTAGTAGGGGTGGTAGTAGTAGTAGTAGTTGTAGTAGTAGTGGTCGGGCTGGTAGTAGTAGTAATAGTAGTGGTAGGGGTGGTAGTTGTAGTAATAGTAGTAGTAGTGGTAGGGGTGGTATTTGTAGTAGTAGTTGTAGGGGTGGCTGTAGTAGTGGTAGTAGTAGTAGCAGTAGTAGCTGGTCGTAATAGTAGTAGTAGTGTTAGTGGTGGTAGGGGTATAAGCAGTAGTAGTAGTAGTAGAATTAGGGGTGGTAGTAGTAGTAGTAGTAGTAGTGTTAGTGGTGGTAGTTGTAGTAGTAGTAGTAGTAGTAGTAGTAGTAGTAGTAGTAGTAGTAGTAGTAAATCAACATGTTTTACAGGTAGTTACATCTGTTAAAGGTGACGCCTGGACTCACAACGCGGCATTTACATTGATGAAACATATTGATTCGCGGTTTTTCTGGCTGTGTGCTATATATTTACGTATACTGGTATTATATTATAGGAAAGTATGTAACTGTTGTGGTGTCTTATCCTTTTGGTGTATACGCCTGCCCGTTATTGTAAGCATTTCACAAACAACGCCTGGGTCACGAGGATGTAGAGGTCAATGCATGTTAATAAGATGCGTTTGAAATGTGTATAATGATACTTTCATGATAAATATATACACACACGAGTTTGAGAACTTCATGTAGTTATTGCCAAACATCCGTGAGGATAAGAGACGTTGGTCATTTATTAATAAAAGGGACAAAACCCTTTTCATATCCATCAGAAAACGTTACGAAAAGCGGGTCCGAATGTACCATTCCGACTATATCATGAGAATGTGTTTATGAATCACCATGAAATAGTGATGACACCAGGTGTCCGAGAAAAGCTGAATGTATACTTCCCCACCGGTGGCACCCGCCACAAACGCATGGAATTGTTCTCCGAATACCGTACTTGCTCCTAAGTTCCGTACACTTCGATGTATCCTCGATAGCTGGCAATGCTTTCATGCGGCGTCAAACTACTTTCGTTGGTTGAAATGTGGTAATCGCCAACTCTATGTTCAGCTATCACGTGTATTTGTGAATTGTTTTCTCTTGCGAATGCACTTGCGCAATAGCGGCTCTCTCCATTTCTTGCTGGGTTGTCGTCGAGGTCACGTTCCGAGAACCATTACACGTGATTATTTATTGCGGGAAAATGAAAAAGCACTAACGATACACAAATACGAAATAATGCATTTCAGATGCCAAATTTATAATTTTGAAAAATAATGGTCGGTATCAAAAATGTTATTTCCAAAGTTACCGAAATATGGGATGTACGATATATGATACCCCAATTATTAATTGTTTTTGCTAGGCTCCTGACTCCGCACAGTGAAATTTTCCCCCTTGGATGTTCCCTCTAATAAAACATGTGAATAAGCATTGATAAACAAATGAAAGTAATGAAAAGATAGCATATGGAGGAAAATAGCGTACGGTTGTGAAATTCCATTTTGATGTAGTCGCTCGTTATGATTTTATTCATAGTATGTATTCAGTAATAGACAACAGCTCACCTTATCCCTGTTCTCATTTATCCGAGAACTTGTTTTCTATATGTTGTCACTCGTACAGTACCACCTTAACACACACCCTTAAGTGAAGTGACAACACAAGGAATAGATACACAGTAAATGTAAATATTTTAAAATATATTTGCTAAACACACAAGAAACATTGTAACAACAAATGCAGATGTACATGAAACGTTTTCCATTTATTTTGAACAATATGGACTTCATCAAGACAACATTATCAAACTTGTTCGTCCTGTATTGACTCAAATTGGGCACATTTAACGCATCGACCACAAAAATATAAGTTCTAAAACAATTCCCAAATTTTGACTGGTGCCATATGTTCCCATGTTTTGGATGAACATTTGACTTGCCTTTGCGTGTGTTTGTGATGGTTGTCACCGGTCGGGAAGAATGCGCTCACCTTTTGCGAACATCTGGTGTCATCACTATTTGATTGTGATCCATAAACACAATTTCATGTTTATGTTCTAAAATGGACTCTACTTTTAGCAAAGACTTCTGAGGATTATGGAAATGGTCTTGAACTTTTTATTTATTTGAATGATATGTGAGTAATGTATAGCAATCTTCATGGTCTTCTCCAGGTTGATTTTAAACAGGTAGATTCGAAATCTTTAGACCTTAATTCAAAACTGGATATAATTTCTTGCTGTATTACACTGAGTCAGACCAGAAACGTCATCCCCGTTTCCACTTGGCCACTTTGCACATATGACAGAAGAAAGTGTTGAAGAAGGTATGTCATTGATGACGTCAAAAGGAAGAATTAGAATAAATGTGGGGTCCATCAGTCACATGCGTCCACAGCATTCGCCAAGAAGTCATAATGGTAAGTCACGTGGACTGTGGAGGGCTTCAGATCGATCGTGTCTTGACATTGCCATTAAATTTTATTCATGAAAACTACTCGCCTTCAAAGCTCGTTGAACGTATTCAAATCTAAGGTTGTGAAGTTTCTACTTTGACTCAGTGTATGTCTCCATCATGTTTGCCAATTAATTGATTCACAGCTGAATTCTTTAATAGATATCGAGGCAGTTATAATGCATATGGTTACACCCACTCTCAACATATATTTTACTGTGGGCAGAATTAGTGAAAAAGTGTAAGAGGTTATCGTAACATTACAGAGATTAGAAAAAGGGTATTGTAGAACCTATGCTAATGTCACCACAAATTACTTTATTTGCAGTCAAGCATGATTTCACTTTTTAAAGACAAATATATACTAAGGGGAACTAAAAAGAAACTGTGCTTCATATAAGGTTCAATAAAAAAATACTTTGAAATTAAATTGTGCATCTTTATATATATTCATGAAGACATCTCGACTTTCAGATCATGATTCACAATTTGCACGTGCATGTTGCACAATTTGCGTGTTTGTTGGGCGCATGACCCTCACTTACGTGATTTTATATATTTTTTAATGTGAATAGCACACAATGATTATTCAGCTATCAGGTGCTCATAAAAATATTTTCATGTAACCGTACAAAACGCTTAGGGAATGCTAGGACTGCTAGTCTACACGCCGTGGGTATGCTGCAAACAGGAATGGCACTAAACGAAGTGCCAGACGTTTTGATTTTCATAGAAACACAACATCATCTCTTCGGTTGGTGCATCTACGGAATCGATGTCAAACTGACAAATTAAAAGCTCTGACGGATTGAGGAAGGACAACATCCAGACCCGACGTCCAGCGATACGCCCAATTTTGTTTCCACGTCAACGTCAGGCACGTCTAGCTTGGTGTAGACATCATCTCAGGTTCAGTTGGCAAGACTGGGACAGTATACCGTTTACAGATGAGTCCATGTTTCATCTGGATAACTCTGATGGTCGTGCAAGGGCCTACGTGCGTCCAGGAAAACGTTGTAGCGACGCTTGCTTGCGTTATTCAACGTCGTCAGTTTGGGGTGGAAGTGTAATGGCATGGGGTGGCATGACAACTCGAGGGAGAATTCAAGCCACCATTGTCAATGGTAATTTGGCGTACGCTACCGGGGCGACATCGTTCGAGACCATGTGCAAATGCAAGGACACGACAAGTGGCAGCAGGATAATGTCCGGCCACATATAACACGCGTTGTAACTTTTGTTGCGATTTTTGGAGGCAGCATTATATTACTGTACTGCCATAGTCGGCTGTTTCTTCAGAGCTCAACCCTACAGAACATATCTGGGATAAGATATATCGACGCCTACGACAGGACCAGAACCAGCCTGCAACGCTAGCTCTGTTGGGCCAATCTTTTGTCCTCCGGGCTCTTTTCAATCATCTGGTGTGTTCATTGCAAAGCTGCTTCCTCGCCTGTATCAACGGAAATGGTATTGACATTGTTAATTGAGTTGTTACACCACCCAGCTTTTTAGGCGTCTCGCTCTGTCTCCTGTTACCAGGTATTGGTTTTGTCAATGAATTTGTTATGACAAAATATTGATCAGACGAATGACCTAATGTCATATTGTTATTTCGATAACATAACATTTTGCACCACTTAATATGAAGCACACTTTTTTCCGTTAGTATTGATACAAGTAAAGTATTTTCGGTACACTTGATATATGCTGTCAACAAAAGATGTGCGCTGTTTTTAAATAGTCGGAGACACTCTACGTCAACTGCGTATTGAGTTGTCACTGTTGATAGGTGAAGGTTATGGCAACAAGGACATAACAAATTCAACATCACATGGTCATTGAGATCATTCACTCAGTTTTGAATTTTTTTTATCTTGAAACTGTCAATAATGTCACCACCACGTTATCTATTTTCAGCGTTTCTTACACCCAATAGAACATTTGATTCCGACACATCAATGCAATGTTTATATAAAAATAAACACGCTTTTACTTTCTTTATCATCTTAAGCAATTGAATTCTGGGAAACGCTGTAGTAAACTGGACGCGAAATCTGGCTACACAAAGAAGAAGAGGAGGAGGAGGGATGTAGGAGTCGGTGACGGTGGAGTGACGAGGGCGACCCTAAGGACCACTTTCACCGTTCAGGAACCTTTGATGGCTGGCGGTCTGTATATAACATTTTGTTTCGTCTGTCCACAAACTGAACCGAATGAACTGTCAAATACGTTTTCTGCCTTACCTAAATTGTATTTTATTCACCAAAACCGTATGAGAGCTGGAATATGGTTCATCTGATGGGATAAATTCACTTGAATATAATTGAATGCTGCACCAATGCCACGTCGTCTATTCTGACGTGAAGTATCCTCCAGTCAGTGACTGTTTTTTTATTGTGCGGTCAATATGATTTCACAAATACCTCACAGTGGCCTGTATGCAGTAATCTGGGTCAATCACGAGTATCGATGACAGACTAAGAACAAGGTCGCACATTGTGACGTGATCCTCATTTTAGCTCACCTGACTGAAAGTCAAGTAAGCTTATGGTATGGCATGTTTGTCCGCCGTGCGTCGTGCGGCCTCATCTTCTCCTCGTGAACTACAGGACCAAAGTTTTTAGCGATATTTATATTTTGAACTTGACTTGACGTTTGCACTTCACCCAGACTAAAAGCGGTAGCTTCTTATGACCATTATGTTTGGTTAGTAGGGGGTCTCAATACATGTGTTCCACTTTTGAACTTTGACCTTGTTCCTAAATTATCTCAAAACGCATTTCCTGGCACTGTAAACGCAATCCACGCGGAAACTACAGGATCAAGGAGGTTGGCTGAAACTTCACACTCTCGTTTCTACCAATTCAATGATGACATTCTGAATTTGTTCAGGAGGTTCGAATCTGACAGTCATTATAACCGCTTCGTCATCCATGTTAAAGCTATTTAAAATCGATATATAGAGCTTATATATCGAGGTGAGCTACTGTGTCGTGGCACTGTTTCTCTCAGTTTCACATTGTATATTTGTGACCAACCATGAGATTAGGGACCTTATGGGGGAAAAATCACATTTTGACAGTTTTTATTATAGAAATACATGACATCAAACATTTGGACTCATTTTGGACACCGACGTATAACTGTTATGTGATAACTGCAGTTTTTAAACATAATGTCTTATGAATTGAAAGTAGACATATATGCTGAAAGGTATTGAAATCAAGTTTTTATTACATTACGAACTAACGAGAGAGGAATAAGATATTTGTGTACAATCCGCACACATGGTGATCTTCACTGAAGTAAATTGACGTCAAACGTCTTATGACGTCATAGCACAATTGTACCCCAGCACCCATAAGGTCACTTTCCTCCTGGGGGCTCACAGTTATTGTTGGCAGCATCCAGGGTGTAGATGAAACGTGTTTATTATGTTTTCAGCGTCAAGGTGCTCCATGGGGATCTGGGCTCTGGTCGCACTGATGTACCTGTTCAAGTGAAGTACACGTGTCTGTGTCCTGTCTATCTATAGGCCGGGGCAGTTGCTAGATAGTATCCCCAATATTCAGCAGTGGAATGAACAGGGAATCAAATTACATGCATGTATACAATTGATGTCGTTTACTTATCATCATAGATTTTTTGATTGTCATATATTTTTTGTATTTAGATGAAAGTTAATTGTGTTTTTGCCTTTTTTGCATCTGGTGATATGTCTGATACGTGCCTGTTTTTCCTTGAACTAGAAGCGTGTACATGCCATGATTATAATGAATGATTGAAATGGTCGTTTAATTACCTGCAGACAGACCAATGATTACAACTAAATCATTATGCAATTAACTGCCAATGTATAGCATGAAACTTAAATATTCTAATATGTTATCAATAAACGGTATCTATATTGCTGATAATAATCAAGCTATCTTCCATCTCTATCTGTGTGTTGTGTGTTCTTTTGTATTTGACTTTACGAACATTATGAAGGAAAACATTATGTAAACCAGTTACATTCATGAGTTGTGCATTGACAACACTTCAACACAGTTACATTTATGTGTTGTGTATTGACAACTCTTTAATACAGTTACATAATACATGTGTTGTGTATTGACAACTCTTCAACACAGTTACATTCATGTGTTATGCATTGACCACTCTTCAACACAGTTACATTCATATGTTATGTATTGACAACTCTTCAACACAGTTACATTCATGTGTTGTGCATTGACCACTCTTCAAGACAGTTACATTCATGTGTTGTGTATTGACAACTCTTCAACACAGTTTCATTCATGTGTTGTGCATTGACCACTCTTCAACAAAGTTACATTCATGTGTTATGCATTGACAACTCGTCAACACAGTGACAATCATGTGTTGTGTATTGACAACTCTTCAACACAGTTACTTTCATGTGTTATGCATTGACCACTCTTCAACACAGTTACATTCATGTGTTGTGTATTGACAACTCTTCAACACAGTTACATTCATGTGTTGTGCATTGACCACTCTTCAACACAGTTACATTCATGTGTTGTGTATTGACAACTCTTCAACACAGTGACAATCATGTGTTGTGTATTGACAACTCTTCAACACAGTTTCATTCATGTGTTATGCATTGACAACTCTTCAACACAGTTACATTCATGTGTTATGCATTGACAACTCTTCAACACAGTTACATTCATGTGTTGTGTATTGACAACTCTTCAACACAGTTACATCCATGTGGTGTGCATTGACAACTCTTGAACACAATAACATTCATATGTTGTGTATTGACAACTCTTCAACACAGTTACATTCATGTGTTGTGTATTGACAACTCTTGAACACAATAACATTCATATGTTGTGTATTACAACTCTTCAACACAGTTACATTTATGTCTATGCATTGACAACTCTTCAACACAGTTACATTCATGTGTTGTGTATTGACAACTCTTCAACACAGTTACTTTCATGTGTTGTGTATTGACAACTCTTCAACACAGTTACATTCATGTGTTGTGTATTGACAACTCTTCAATACAGTTACATTCATGTGTTGTGTATTGACAACTCTTCAACACAGTTACTTTCATGTGTTGTGTATTGACAACTCTTCAACACAGTTACATTCATGTGTTATGCATTGACAACTCTTCAACACAGTTACATTCATGTGTTGTGTATTGACAACTCTTCAACACAGTTACATTCATGTGTTGTGTATTGACAACTCGTCAACACAGTTACATTCATGTGTTGTGCATTGACAACTCTTCAACACAGTTGGGTACCGGGGCCGTGGGTTAGCCTAGTGGTTAAAGCGTTCTCTCGTCATGCCGGAGACCCGGGTTCGATTCCCGATATGGGTACAATGTGTGAGGCCCATTTCTGGCGTCCCCCGCCGTGATATTGCCGGAATAATGCTAAAAGTGGCGTAAAACCATACTCACTCACTCATTGGGTACTGTCCTGCTGTGGACAGACGTGACGCATATAGAACACTTTCATACCTCCGAATGAGTGAGTGAGTATGGTTTAAGCCGTTTTTAGCAATATTCCAGCAATATCGGGTGGCTTCAGACATTATCACATGTGGCCGGGTGCATGTTCACTGCTCCCGCTGGACCTTTTGAGGAAACCTCTTCATGATATGTTAAGTCTACCTTTGTCGTGCATGGGAAATTTTGTGTTAGCAAGAATATCCAATTGTTCATTAAAGCACGGTAGCATTAACTAGTGAATCAGGTTTCCCATAACAAATCACTTTCACAGGGCACTAGTGGTCTTCCCCACAGAAAGATAAAATTAGGTAGTTCAGCGGTTCACGCGTTTGCTTGCAGAGCATAAGACCGGGTTCAATCTCCGGCATGAATGCGTGGACATTGGCAGATATGCATATGTCATCGACTGATCAGTTCCGTGTCTACTCGGGCTAACACAGGTCCCCGGGCGCCGTTGCTGGTCTGGTGGCACAGATCTTGCCTTTAGGTACCAGTCTGCCTGAGTCAGACTCCACTATTTACAGACCGTCTTGTTATAGTTGTGCTTGTTCTTACGCTGCCTGGCGCTCGGCATTAAGGGGCTAAAACAAGGAGTCAGTATACTGTGTCTGACTTGGGTATCCATGTTAAACTATGGCATAGTATTCGGTGGGCTAGCACTATAACATCGGCATCAGTCCGGACTAATTATGTGCAACAATCTTGGACGCGACTTTAAACCCCACCTCTGATGGGCATGACTGTGTCACTAACCAAGTGGGTGGAACATGTGGCCTAATGCGCCGTGTGTTAGAATTGCACGTATTCGACCCGAGTATTACCTTCAGTGCTCGTTGGCTTCCTCGGTGTTGTAAAAGTGTGACCATGTTTCAGTCTGATCTTCCCTACACATTAAGACGCAAAGAAAAAGCCATAGCATCAGCCAGGATCAGATGTCATGGTTGGTCGATATACCAGACATTTGAAATCTGGTGTAGTGACGTATCATACCGCCTTACAACTAAACAGGGCCAAAGAAGCGGCAGTACATGGCAACAGCTTCAAAAACGTCACGTCGACCTCTGTAAAGTCAAAATTGAAAACACTATCAATGGAATTTCGAGTACCTGAAATATTCACTCCTGCTTTCCTGTACTGATATTACTGTATGTAGTGCTTTCAAAACGACTTTAAACCCCAAACGCTCATCAACAAAGCTTCAGCTATACTCGCAATACAATACATGGCAAAACTAACATGTGTTTACGAATATTTCACCTTACTCTGAAACGAAATTAAATCAGAAATACGGTTATAGGGAGATTTGTGGGTCGTTATTGTTCACAATACTGATCAACTGCGAGACTTGACACCTACAGTGATAGCAAGTTGAGAAATATGGTTCGTTATCTTCTGTATAGAAATCACGTAAATGGAGGGGTCAGATTGACAAAAAGAACTCTTCTTTTAGTAGAGATTTATTATGATTATTGAAAGGTTTTTGTCGCGTTATTTACAACGAACAAGACGAGCACTGAGATAGCAATATGTTTATGTCAAAAGTGATTTAGTGGGCAGTGATTTAAGCCAGATGTGTGTAATATTCTGCACAACGTTTGGGATATAAGGTTTAGCACTTTGGTGAAACCCATGAGCACGGGATTTGTGCTGACAAACCTAGAAACATAGTCGGGGCGAACCGGGATTAGAACCCACAATCAAGGGACGCAACTCTGCACAGCGAATTTCGACGCCTTAGTACTGCCATGGAACTAACATATTCAACTTCATTTCAAGTTAAAAACAACCTGCCTTTCTAAGTATCCATATCAAGGGTTGAGAAGCACACTTCATAGCACTATGCAGAGAAAAACATTTTAAGAGTGAGTGAGTGAATATGGTTTTACGTCTTTTGGAATATTACTTTCATGTTGCTGTGGGAGACTTTGCATGGCTTTGAAGTTTATCACTGTAGTGAAACCAATTAATGTGACAGACAGACAGCTCTGTACAGCGAATCGCGGCACCTTAGACTACTTACTAAAGAACAGAAAGTATTTGGTGTATACTTCGCAATGCAAAATCAATGCTTTATTCCATTTGCTGTATAGTTGAGCATTTTAATCTCATTTATAAGTATAGAAAAGAAATAAACAGAAAACCGTTACTTTAGTAACATGAAATTTAATACTCAAACATTGCTTGTCTGAGTATTTGATACACACAGTATTAGACGGTACTGTGACGTCATTGTGGCCATATACGTTGTGTATTTGTTGTTTAGCGCCGCACTCAGCAATATTCCAGCCATATGACGGCGGTCTGTAAAATAATAAAGAACAGACAATCCAGTGAGGTGAGGTGAAGTGAAATTGGGTTTAACGTCGCGTCCAAGATTATTGCACTTATATAGCGACGTGCATGCACGTGTGTGTGTGGCTGCTTGTACTAGACCGGACTGATGCCGACTTTGCCGACCAGTCCTTGCTTTAACCCCTTAATGCCGAGCGCCAGACAGGGTAACAACAAGTACCATCTTTTGACGTCTTTTGGTATGACGCGGCCGGGGATCGAACCCCGGACCTTCCACACTCAGGGCGGACGCTCTACCACTAGACCACGGAGGCGGTCCAATCCAGTGACTGACATCATGAGCATCGATCCACGCAATTGGGATACCTTGACATACATCAACCAAGTCAGGGAGCCTGACCACCTAATCCCGTTTGTCGCCTCTTCCGACTAGCATGGGTTGTTGTAGACTTATTCTAACCCATGTCTTCACGAATGCCCTATACTTTGAGCAGTGTACCGAGCTGGAATCTACTCGGACAAATCATTCCTAGTGATGTTCATTCCGCTTTGTGATGGATATGTTTTAATCTTCTTTACTTGATTCAATAATTGCCTATGGACTCAGATATGCATTAAACGCAAAGATGTATACAGTGATGAAATATATTTATGGTGATGTTGCGCTTTAACAGCAATGGTGTGCGTGCGTGCCTGCGTGCTTGCGTGCGTGCGTGCGTGCGTGCGTGCGTGCGTGCTTACGTGCGTACGTGCGCGTGTAACGTAACACAAAGATTCTTGCGGTGTCAAGCGTTGGTAAAGTGATATGTGTATTTTTTACCCAGGCAAATAGGAACATTCGAACGACATCGTGAGTAGGAGAGAGTCCATAGCCACAGCCTACATTCTAGGTCAGGAGTTACAGTGACTCAAGTCTTCACAGGTAAGAGATAACACGCTGGAAGTGCAGGGTGGTATAGGGTGAATATTGCACACTTGTTTTATATCGTGTTTCTGGTTCAGTCTTCTGTTCACATGCTAAGCTGCGGAAATACTCATCACAAGTCAGTTTCTACGTTTATCTGAGGAGGTGAGTGTGTATCTGTGACCAGGGAGTGACTAACCTCCACCAAACAGGGTGAGAGGGGAAGGTACGAATGTTATGCTTACGGTAATCTCAGTAGTGCTACCCATTATTACTGATTACTGATATTCATTTCATCAAAGACGAACTGAGCTTCCTGTTGGTACTGTTGAAGTAAGACATGCCAGGGTGTGTTGAATCTCCCCTCGTGACATGTACAGATGTCAGACGTCCAGGGACATGTTATCTATGGGCACTATCTCTCCTTGAACAACAACCACAATGGCGGACGTTTGTGATTTGTTTGAGGAAATTCGTATATCCAATACCACTGTGACCTTGATGAATTTTGTAATGTCAGTTTATCAGAGTTTTTTTATGTAATATCATTACTTACCTTTTATTATATTTATCAATAATGTCATTCATTCATTCATTCATTCATTCATTCATTCGTGTGTGTTAGGGAACATGTGTTGCTGGCATGAAGTGAATATGTCTGTTTCATGGCAATATGATCTACTTGAAGTTAGTAGTATGTTATGATCTCTGTATTAACTCTTCAACATGGCTGTGGATATTTTTGCACCTGTGCTAACAGCTGTGGTATTGTCAACGCTCATGTTGACGCGGAATTGGCTTATGGGGGAATCAAGGACAAAATCGACATCACTGTCCCGAAACGTTTTATGCACAACATGTTAACAATACACAACAAATACACAATGAGCGGAATACCTGCTCTGACAACACAAACACAGCGATGGGCGGATCTTCCAGCTCAGGCATACATGAGGTGCGCGGAGTTCCAGCTCAACCTCAGGACGTTTTCTACGAGCGGCACATCCTGCTCGAGGTCGTCCCTACACCAGCGCTCGGAATACCAAGCTGATTAACAGTGTAATGGTAACACATATATAGTAATGAAAAACAATGGACAGCTCAGGGGATGAACAATTAAGGCTATAAATGTCATACTATAAATAACAGTAATTATCGGAAGTGATATGGTAGCCTAGGTTGGCTGAAAATGCTGAAGGTTGAAAATAAATAACACATGAAATTCATTTTGAAGATAATCAAGATTTCTCGATCTGAAACACACACAGTCTGTGTTTAAAGTCTGTATTATGAGAGAAATACGACAGACAACAGGATGAGATAATTAAACAATATTGTGTGCAAACTAAACATATCAATTACAATGTCAATTAGCTAGTATGAAAGGCAATATACCAGTGTAGACGTTCACAAGAGCAAAAGGATGACACAATGAAGATGCAATACGGAATTACTGACGAGTCCTGGCGAAAGTCCCGACAGTGTACAAAACAAGTGAGGACAGGCAGAGGTGAGCCTGGAGTGTTACAATGGAGTCCACAGTACATCATGCTCATTAATTCAACTTGTAGAAAGTTCCACACGATCACTGCGCTTCATCACCTGGTCAGGTTCCTTCAACTTCTTTGATAGGCATTTAGAAGTTGGAGTACCAAATAAGGATACGATTTATGGATGAACAACTTAAATAACTTACAATTAAGAGCGACCTGTATACATACTTGTCTACCATACTCAGTATGTCACTTGCTTGATAACGGTGTTAGAACCTACACCGAAACGTCGCTATTAATTGTAATAAAGAAGTTGTTCATCCATAAATCGTATTCTTACAAAGTTACTTCAAACATCTTACTGTTTCAGCATGTGGCTGACTCCGGTGACATGGCTACTTTTGGGTGTAACTAATGTAAGTAAAGAATAAACTTATGTATCGATTTCCTTCACCAAGGTAACCCTTGGGCCCTCTGTCCCTTGTGTCACTGATGCCTCCCACAAGGCCTGGGGCCCTCTGTCCCATGTGTCACTGATGTCTCCCAAAAGGCCTGGGGCCCTCTGTCCCATGTGTCACTGATGTCTCCCACAAGGCCTGGTGCCCTCTGTCCCATGTGTTACTGATGTCTCCCATAAGGCCTGAGAGCCTCTGTCCCATGTGTCACTGATGTCTCCCACAAGGCCTGGGACCCTCTGTCCCATGTGTCACTGATGTCTCCCACAAGGCCTGGGGCCCTCTGTCCCATGTGTCACTGATGCCTCCCACAAGGCCTGGGACCCTCTGTCCCATGTGTCACTGATGTCTCCCACAAGGCCTGGGACCCTCTGTCCCAAGTGTCACTGATGTCTCCCACAAGGCCAGATGCCCTCTGTCCCATGTGTTACTGATGTCTCCCACAAGGCCTGGGGCCCTCTGTCCCATGTGTCACTGATGTCTCCCACAAGGCCTGGGACCCTCTGTCCCATGTGTTACTGATGTCTCCCACAAGGCCTGGGGCCCTCTGTCCCATGTGTCACTGATGTCTCCCACAAGGCCCGGGGCCCTCTGTCCCATGTGTCACTGATGTCTCCCACAAGGCCTAGGGCCCTCTGTCCCATGTGTCACTGATGTCTCCCAAAAGGCCTGGGCCCTCTGTCCCATGTGTCAATGATGCCTCCCCAAAGGCCTGGGACCCTCTGTCCCATGTGTCACTGATGTCTCCCACAAGGCCTGGGACCCTCTGTCCCATGTGTTACTGATGTCTCCCACAAGGCCTGGGGCCCTCTGTCCCATGTGTCACTGATGTCTCCCACAAGGCCCGGGGCCCTCTGTCCCATGTGTCACTGATGTCTCCCACAAGGCCTAGGGCCCTCTGTCCCATGTGTCACTGATGTCTCCCAAAAGGCCTGGGCCCTCTGTCCCATGTGTCAATGATGCCTCCCCAAAGGCCTGGGACCCTCTGTCCCATGTGTCACTGATGTCTCCCACAAGGCCTGGGCCCTCTGTCCCATGTGTCACTGATGTCTCCCACAAGTCCTGGGAACCTCTTTCCCGTGTGTCACTGATGTCTCCCACAAGGCCTGGGACCCTCTGTCCCGTGTGTCACTGATGCCTCCAACAAGGCCTGGGACCCTCTGTCCCATGTGTCACTGATGTCTCCCACAAGGCCTGGGGCCCTCTGTCCCATGTGTTACTGATGTCCCCCATAAGGCCTGAGAGCCTCTGTCCCATGTGTCACTGATGTCTCCCACAAGGCCTGGGACCCTCTGTCCCATGTGTCACTGATGTCTCCCACAAGGCCCGGGGCCATCTCTCCCGTGTGTCACTGATGTCTCCCACAAGGCCTGGGGCCCTCTGTCCCATGTGTCACTGATGTCTCCCACAAGGCCCGGAGCCCTCTGTCCCATGTGTCACTGATGTCTCCCACAAGGCCTGGGAGCCTCTGTCCCAAGTGTCACTGATGTCTCCCACAAGGCCTGGTGCCCTCTGTCCCTTGTGTCACTGATGTCTCCCACAAGGCCCGGGGCCCTCTGTCCCATGTGTCACTGATGTCTCCCACAAGGCCTGGGGCCCTCTGTCCCATGTGTCACTGATGTCTCCCACAAGGCCTGGTGCCCTCTGTCCCATGTGTCACTGATGTCTCCCACAAGGCCTGATGCCCTCTGTCCCATGTGTCACTGATGTCTCCCATAAGGCCTGAGAGCCTCTGTCCCATGTGTCACTGATGCCTCCCACAAGGCCTGGTGCCCTCTGTCCCATGTGTCACTGATGCCTCGAAAGTCAACTGATGCCTTGAGAGTCAACATATGGTGTTTAGGTTTCAATGTGAGGTTGCGTGTTTACATTACATGAAATAATAACTTAACCAAACATGCAGGTGTACTGTGATATGAGGTTAAAATATATTATATATCTACGCCTGTGAAATGAAATTGAAAGATCTATTGTTTCCTATAGCCCATGTATTGACGTGACGCTTAAAGGGCAAGTTCACACGGAAATGAACCTATTTTTCTTGAACTTTTTCCACATTAAAAGTGTTAACCTAGAAGTGTCATAGACAAAAATATAAAAATATCACAATTTATTAACATATTTTTCGCATTAAAACGATTTATATTTTTCACATTTACCAAGTGTTCTATTTCCACAACAAAAACACCATGGCTTATGCCCCTTGCAATATGACGTCATTGGTGCCAATTGATAAACATTATGACGTCATCATGCTTTGTTAGAGCCGCTTCACGTGGTGTAGGTACAGGTGTGTGATTCTAGCGTCTCAGATGCCAGCCAGCATAGTGTTATGCTGAGTCATCACTGCGCCGGAATGTGTCGTAGGCCATGTTGTTTTACGGCAAACTGGTACTTGATATCTTTTGCGTTGAGAATAGACAGGGACCCAGTTGAATTGGCACCAATTACGTCATAATCTAAGGGGGATAACTCAGGCCTGTTTAGCTCGAAAAACGAAGGCCTCATAACGGCATATCATTTTCACACTATTGTGAGCTTCCTACTTTCACTGTGAAAAAATTGAGTGTTTATTTTCAAACACAGATACTAATTAATTCTAAAATTTCGTTTTGTTTAGAAAAAGATAAAAAGTTATTTTTGCGTGTACACTTCCCCTTTAAACAAAATATATGTTGGTACTGAGTTTTTTGTTGTAGGTCTTTGCAGTAGCCACTCAGACGCCACCTCTCACCATACGTTAGTTCATGCAACGCTTGCTTCCATGCCAAAATAAAGTTATATGTCTCGTTACAACATTTTACATAAGGTAATCGGTATAACCAGAGTAGTGATAAGTGCTATACTTTAATGGAGATGATTATATCATCACTTGCCAAAGATAGAAAAAATAGTTCCTCAGAAATAACATAATTATGTAATTCTTCGAAAACATTGAAATTATAATCTATTGGATGGGTTCTCTTGGCCATTGTGTGTCCTCAACGTGTGTACACATAGAATGACCTGGCAGACGCAGACTTGAACAGATGTTACATGTTATTCATTTCATACATTACACTGTTTTCCATTGTTTCCATTTCCACTCCAACCCGCTGCACTTACCATCGTGGTATAGCTGGCGGGTGGCGTTGGCACGTAGTAATATAATACAATGTTATGTAACATATTTTATGCTTCAGAATGTCTCTCAAATGGTAGTATAAACATAACACAGAAGAAGACTTACGATGCCGAGATATTTGTGGTTGGAAACTTTCCCAGTTGTTCGGATGCTATGCGACACTTCAGACTTGACTCTGGGAACCATTTGCTGAACACATCATGTAACGTAAGGCGCCATGCTTGAATTCATAGCATCATTTAAAACTTATACAGGGAATTAAATGCATTCCTCAACGTAGAAATACACCTTTTGATAGTAAATGTTATTGACCAATTCAGTTTCTTTACAACAACACATGAAGACACAGAGCTATTCTGGTGACAGTGGTGGCTCATTGGGCGTGGTTCGAATCCCAGATTCGCCCAAGTAATGGTCCCCGGTTTGCCACCGTCCCAGCCGGGGTCGCTTCAACGACGTGGAAAACCTCTATGACAAGATTTACAACAGGAAACTGTTTGTTGACTGTTCAAAATGTTAACAATGAAAGCAAAGATTGACAGTATAAGAAATTGTTGAGCACACAACATAGCTCAGCACTGGGGGTGTACTACCGTTCACAGGTGACACTTCATACCCCGCCAATCATTCAGCAGCTTGTAGACCAATTGCAAACCAATGGCTGCGGATGTGTGCATCTGGCTGAATAAATAGAATAGCCAGACATACTAGTCTCTATAACAATCTAATATGAGTGGGTAATGGTGTGTGTGTGGGGGGGGTGGGGGGGGGGGGGGGGGGGGGGGGGGGGTGGGGGGTGGGGTGGGGGGGTGGGGGGTGGGGGGGGGTGGGGGGAGGGGGTTGGGGGGGGGGTGGGGGGGTTGGGGGTGGGGGGGTGTCATATAAACTAAACTATTGCAATGGTATTGGCATAGTTCCAGTACCGCAAAAGTCCGTGTTATGAGGTGAGGTACAAATTATATCGCAGAGGTTAACCCAGTAATCGTTACGTCCAGAACTAACTTGTTAGATCAGTAAATGACCACAAAAGATCAACGTCAATAAGTTATACTGACACACAATAAATGAGGCAATACAGTTGGTCAAATGAGTTGTAGCAGCAACAGGTAACGAGCCCTATAGCAGCTCCCAAATGTTCCAAATATTGCCACTGTTGAATGTCTTGAAAGAGGCCAGGCAAAATATTTGAATCCAGAATAGGTTTGGGAAACAAGACAGGTCGAAAAGTCTTCGAAACGTCCCCTTGATGCTCTTTTATATAGATACAGCCATCCTTCTAAAACTATCCCTTCCGGAAACGTACTATTAGCTTGCCATGTACATGCCATAAGGGCAGATAACTCTTGTTCTACCACAAAACCATCTTGAAAACTCCACTGTTGTCCGCAGTCTGTTCATAACAACATTTGGTATTCTATCGGATTGGGTTAAGTCAGTGCATGATATTACCATTGGTACACTCTCTTTAAAATCAAATCTTAGTTCTCGCTACCTCTCGAATGGTCGGATGAAAGGTGATTGTGACGTGACCTATTATGGCATGTCCTCAGATCTTTGTTAAGCGGTAGCGAGAACTAACAGTTGATTTTAATTAGACTGTCATTGGTTAGATGCACAAATCGAAAAATAGGAAACAGAATAAACCCATTCTGTCCCTGCCAGCTGTCATCCAAAGTCTGGCTGTCCGACATGAAAGGTTTGTAGTTGTTCCCACTACAAGGCCTCAAATAGCATGACCATTACATGTAAGCATCACTACAGTAACTGTTTGATCGAAGAACTTGGTACAAGTGACATATTACGTAATGCCACATACAAGTCCAGTATGTTAACTAGAGAAGACATCTGCCTAAACCACACACCAGTACTATCGGCAGACACGCCCATTCCTCTGCTGCACTGGATTCCAAAACATCACAAAGATCCGTACAAAGAGAGCTATATTGCTGTACCACCAAATCACTGTCTCCAAGATGAACAATAATCAAGGAAGGACTTTCTGTATATTCACAGGCAGTATTTGAGATGAGTAGTTTCTCAAAAATGCAAATGAATTCAGAAAAGAACCAAGTACTATCTAATTGTAAATATGTGTTTCCTATGAAGTATTTATGGCAAAACTGTAGATCTTAAAAATAGAGCACGTTTAGTAACGAAAATGTTATTTCATGCCACATTGTCATAGTAAAGTTTATCTACGTAAGAATATATGAAGACTTGTTTCATAAACAATGAGTTCATTTAGCCATATTATTGTAGCGAGAACATATATGAACGTGTACAAGAATGTCAGAGTGTTGAACATACTTGGATTTGGGTCATGCTGTTGCAGTCGCTGAAGCTAATGGCAGTCTTGTGAATGCCGTGCATGCTCTAACACGACGTTCTATTTAACCAGGGCACGACTGGGTATGTCCTAGAGGTACTGAATTTCACCCAGACCACACACAGACCAGGCTTCACCTCGACAGTGTACAACGTCAACTGTACTTCTAACGTAACAGGCAACGCAAGTGTATTTACACTGGTAAACACAACGTGAGCAAGACTTAAACTCATTCTTTTGCGAATTGACCATTTTTGTTTCTTTTTCTTTAAAGAGATTTTAGTTTACTACAGGCGGAGAACAGCTGTCGTGAGATGAGCAATGATTTTATGTGTATAGGTCTGTCCAAATGCGTCTCTATGTTGAATTGCCATATTCCAGCTGTGTTGACGACCAAGCTTATATACCGGACAGGGGGGGCAAGGGGGGGGGGGGGGGGGGGGGGGAGCTTTGGTTCTGAAATGAAACCAGTGCAGAAATGAATTTGCATGTGTCACCTAAAGGAATGTCGCCAGTGTTAGTAACACAAGGTCTCAAATCGACGTTTATGACGTGTGACAAGGTTAAATAAATGTAATATGTGTCAAGCGGTATGATCTATGTCTTATGTGTCACACTGTGTGATCTATGTCTTATGTTCCACAAAGTGTGATCACAGTATTATGTGTCACACTGTGTGATCTAAGTATTATGTGTAGCACTGTGTGATCTCTGTCTTATGTGTCACACGATGTGATCTATGTCTTACGTGTCACACTGTGTGATCTATGTTTTATGTGTCACGTGGTGTGATCTATCTCTCATCTGTCACACGATGTGATCTATGTCTTATGTGTCGGACCGTGTGATCTATGTCGTATGTGTCACAAGATGTGATCTATTTCGTATGTGTCACCAGGTGTGATCTGTGTTTATGTGTCACACTGTGTGATCTCTGTCGTATGTGTCACACTGTGTGATCTAAGTATTATGTGTAGCACTGTGTGATCTCTGTCTTATGTGTCACGTGGTGTGATCTATCTCTCATCTGTCACACGATGTGATCTATGTCTTATATGTCAAACAGTATAATCTATGTCTTATGTGTGACAAGATGTGATCTATGTCTTATGTGTCGGACGGTGTGATCTATGTCGTATGTGTCACGTGGTGTGATCTATATCTTATGTGTCGCACTGTTTTATCTCTGTCTTATGTGTCACACTGTGTGATCTAAGTATTATGTGTAGCACTGTGTAATCTCTGTCTTATGTGTCACACTGTGTGATCTATGTCGTATGTGTCACAAGATGTGATCTATTTCGTATGTGTCACCAAGTGTGATCTGTGTTTATGTGTCAAACGGTGTGATCTGTGTTTATGTGTCACATGGTGTGATCTGTGTCTTATGTGTCACACTGTGTGATCTATGTCTTATGTGTCTAGTGGTGTGATCTATCTCTCATCTGTCACACGATGTGATCTATGTCTTATATGTCAAACAGTATAATCTATGTCTTATGTGTGACAAGATGTGATCTATGTCTTATGTGTCGGACGGTGTGATCTATGTCGTATGTGTCACGTGGTGTGATCTATATCTTATGTGTCACACTGTTTTATCTCTGTCTTATGTGTCACACTGTGTGATCTAAGTATTATGTGTAGCACTGTGTAATCTCTGTCTTATGTGTCACACTGTGTGATCTATGTCTTATGTGTCACACTGTGTGATCTCTGTCTTACGTGTCACGCGGTTTGATCTATGTCTTTTGTGTCACGCGGTATGATCTATGGCTCATGTATTACAAAGTGTCATATGTCTTATGTGTCACACTGTGTGATCTAAGTATTATGTGTAGCACTGTGTGATCTATGTCTTATGTGTCACACGATGTGATATATGTCTTATGTGTCACACTGTGTGATCTAAGTATTATGTGTAGCACTGTCTTATGTGTCAAACAGTATGATCTATACCTTATGTGTCACGCGGAGTGATCTATGTCTTTTGTGTCACGCGGTGTGATCTATGGCTCATGTATTACAAATGTCATATGTCTTATGTGTCAAACAGTATGATCTATACCTTATGTGTCACGCGGAGTGATCTATGTCTTTTGTGTCACGCGGTGTGATCTATGGCTCATGTATTACAAAGTGTCATATGTCTTATGTGTCACACCATGTGAGCTATGTCTTACGTGTCACGCTGTGTGATCTATGTTTTATGTGTCACGTGGTGTGATCTATCTCTCATCTGTCACACGATGTGATCTATGTCTTATGTGTCGGACCGTGTGATCTATGTCGTATGTGTCACAAGATGTGATCTATTTCGTATGTGTCACCAGGTGTGATCTGTGTTTATGTGTCACACTGTGTGATCTATGTCGTATGTGTCACACTGTGTGATCTAAGTATTATGTGTAGCACTGTGTGATCTCTGTCTTATGTGTCACGTGGTGTGATCTATCTCTCATCTGTCACACGATGTGATCTATGTCTTATATGTCAAACAGTATAATCTATGTCGTATGTGTCACAAGATGTGATCTATTTCGTATGTGTCACCAAGTGTGATCTGTGTTTATGTGTCAAACGGTGTGATCTGTGTTTATGTGTCACATGGTGTGATCTGTGTCTTATGTGTCACACTGTGTGATCTATGTCTTATGTGTCTAGTGGTGTGATCTATCTCTCATCTGTCACACGATGTGATCTATGTCTTATATGTCAAACAGTATAATCTATGTCTTATGTGTGACAAGATGTGATCTATGTCTTATGTGTCGGACGGTGTGATCTATGTCGTATGTGTCACGTGGTGTGATCTATATCTTATGTGTCACACTGTTTTATCTCTGTCTTATGTGTCACACTGTGTGATCTAAGTATTATGTGTAGCACTGTGTAATCTCTGTCTTATGTGTCACACTGTGTGATCTATGTCTTATGTGTCACACTGTGTGATCTCTGTCTTACGTGTCACGCGGTTTGATCTATGTCTTTTGTGTCACGCGGTGTGATCTATGGCTCATGTATTACAAAGTGTCATATGTCTTATGTGTCACACTGTGTGATCTAAGTATTATGTGTAGCACTGTGTGATCTATGTCTTATGTGTCACACGATGTGATATATGTCTTATGTGTCACACTGTGTGATCTAAGTATTATGTGTAGCACTGTCTTATGTGTCAAACAGTATGATCTATACCTTATGTGTCACGCGGAGTGATCTATGTCTTTTGTGTCACGCGGTGTGATCTATGGCTCATGTATTACAAATGTCATATGTCTTATGTGTCAAACAGTATGATCTATACCTTATGTGTCACGCGGAGTGATCTATGTCTTTTGTGTCACGCGGTGTGATCTATGGCTCATGTATTACAAAGTGTCATATGTCTTATGTGTCACACCATGTGAGCTATGTCTTATGTGTCACACGGTGTGATCTATTTCATATGTGTCACGCGGTGTGATCTAAGTATTATGTGTCACACAGTATGATCTATATCTTATGTGTCACACGGTATGATCAATGTTTGATGTGTCACACGGTGTGATCTCTGTCTTATGTATCACACAGTATAATCTCTGTCTTTTATGTCACACTGTGTGATCTATGTCTTATGTGTCACGCGGTTTGATCTGTGTCGTACGTGTCTCACTGTGTGATCTAACTATTTTGTGTAGCACTGTGTGATCTATGTCTTATGTGCCACAAAGTGTGATCTATGTCTATGTCTACGTCGACTGACTGACTGACTGACTGTCCGACTGACTGACTGACTGACTGACTGACTGACTGTCCGACTGACTGACTGACTGACTGACTGACTGACTGTCCGACTGACTGACTGACTGACTGACTGACTGTCCGACTGACTGTCCGACTGACTGTCCGACTGACTGTCCGACTGACTGACTGTCCGACTGACTGACTGACTGACTGACTGACTGTCCGACTGAATGACTGACCTCTCAATCAGTGACATGAGTAGTTCTATATAATTGTTTTCAGTAGTGATTCTGTTACAGCTGTAACAGTCAGTCAGCGTGGTAGTCAAATCCGGCTGTAGACCTGTATCTGTAGATCTGTCATTGTTAGTTTGTTAGTTTGTTCCCACATAGGCGGTATTTCCTATTTAACTGTTCAGTAGATGCGTGATGTGTTTACAGGGAGAGCCTCCTACATGCTTGTCCCCACGCTGTGTGAACCCTATCCTACTGCCAACTCGTCAGTCAGACTCTCACTACTGCACTGCGATCAAAAAGGGTAAGTGGGTAAGGTGCTAGATGGGTCTGCTGTATATGAAAGGAAATAATGTGTTTAATTTACATTTACACGATTGTGAGTGAGTTGATGTGGTGTGGCAAGCTACGAGTTCAACAAGTCAGAGATCAGCATCATTTTCAAACTGGTAGCGCATTTAAACTTGGGGCGAACTTCAAGCATGCACCCATATCATGCTGAAAGAATCTATCACTTACCCATTATCTACCAAGAGTCACTAGGTTAGAGTAACAGGTGGAAAAGCATTTGTCAGTTACGAGCATACAGACGGGGGTAAACCTTACACTATTTACTATAAATTGTCCACATCCTTACTCTAACAACACCTACACGTGAACCCGTGTGTTGTATAGCAAGACCCACACGTGAACCCGTGTGTTTTATAACAACACCCACACAAAGGAATGTGTTTTATAGCAACACCCACACGTGAAGCAGTGTGTTTTATAGCAACACCCACACGTGAACCAATGTGTTTTATAGCAACACCCACACGTGAAGCAGTGTGTTTTATAGCAACACCCACACGTGAACCCGTGTTTTATAGCAACACCCACACGTGAACCAGTGTGTTTTATAGCAACACCCACACGTGAACCCGTGTTTTATAGCAACACCCACACGTGAACCAGTGTGTTTTATAGCAACACCCACACGTGAAGCAGTGTGTTTTATAGCAACACCCACACGTGAACCAGTGTGTTTTATAACAACACCTACACGTGAACCCGTGTGTTTTATAGCAACACCTACTCGTGAACCCGTGTGTTTTATAGCAACACCTACACGTGAACCAGTGTGTTTTATAACACCTACACATGAAGCAGTGTGTTTTATAGCAACACCTACACGTGAACCCGTGTGTTTTATAGCAACACCTACACATGAACCAGTGTGTTTAATGGCAACTCCTACACGTGAAGCAGTATGTTTTATAGCAACACCTACACGTGAACCCGTGTGTTTTATAGCAACACCTACACGTGAACCAGTGTGTTTTATAGCAACACCTACACGTGAACCCGTGTGTTTTATAACAACACCTACACGTGAACTCGTGTGTTTTATAACACCTACACGTGAAGCAGTGTGTTTTATAGCAACACCCACACGTGAACCCGTGTGTTTTAAAGCAACACCCACACGTGAACCAGTGTGTTTTACAGCAACACCTACACATGAACCAGTGTGTTTTATAGCAACACCCACACGTGAAGCAGTGTGTTTTATAACACCTACACGTGAAGCAGTGTGTTTTATAGCAACACCTACATGTGAACCCGTGTGTTTTATAGCAACACCTACACGTGAACCAGTGTGTTTTACAGCAACACCTACACGTGAACCCGTGTGTTTTATAACAACACCTACACGTGAACCCGTGTGTTTTATAACAACACTTACACGTGAACCCGTGTGTTTTATAGCAACACCTACACGTGAACCCGTGTGTTTTATAGCAACACCTACACGTGAACCCGTGTGTTTTATAGCAACACCCACACGTGAACCAGTGTGTTTTATAACAACACCCACACGTGAACCCGTGTGTTTTATAACACCTACACGTGAAGCAGTGTGTTTTATAGCAACACCCACACGTGAACCCGTGTGTTTTATAGCAACACCTACACGTGAAGCAGTGTGTTTTATAACACCCACACGTGAAGCAGTGTGTTTTATAGCAACACCTACACGTGAACCCGTGTGTTTTATAGCAACACCTACACATGAACCAGTGTGTTTTATAGCAACACCCACACGTGAAGCAGTGTGTTTTATAACACCTACACGTGAACCCGTGTGTTTTATAGCAACACCTACACGTGAACCCGTGTGTTTTATAGCAACACCTACACGTGAACCAGTGTGTTTTATAGCAACACCTACACGTGAACCCGTGTGTTTTATAACAACACCTACACGTGAACCCGTGTGTTTTATAACAACACCTACACGTGAAGCAGTGTGTTTTATGGTAACACCTACACGTGAACCCGTGTGTTTTATAGCAACACCTACACGTGAACCAGTGTGTTTAATGGCAACTCCTACACGTGAAGCAGTATGTTTTATAACAACACCTACACGTGAACCCGTGTGTTTTATAACACCTACACGTGAAGCAGTATGTTTTATAGCAACACCCACACGTGAACCCGTGTGTTTTATAACACCTACACGTGAAGCAGTGTGTTTTATAGCAACACCTACACGTGAACCCGTGTGTTTTATAGCAACACCCACACGTGAAGCAGTGTGTTTTATAACACCTACACGTGAACCCGTGTGTTTTACAGCAACACCTACACATGAACCAGTGTGTTTTATAGCAACACCCACACGTGAAGCAGTGTGTTTTATAACACCTACACGTGAAGCAGTGTGTTTTATAGCAACACCTAAACGTGAACCCGTGTGTTTTATAGCAACACCTACACGTGAACCAGTGTGTTTTACAGCAACACCTACACGTGAACCCGTGTGTTTTATAACAACACCTACACGTGAACCCGTGTGTTTTATAACAACACCTACACGTGAACCCGTGTGTTTTATAGCAACACCTACACGTGAACCCGTGTGTTTTATAGCAACACCTACACGTGAACCAGTGTTTTTTATAGCAACACCCACACAAGAACCCGTGTGTTTTATAACAACACCCACACGTGAACCCGTGTGTTTTATAGCAACACCTACACGTGAACCAGTGTGTTTTATAACACCTACACGTGAAGCAGTGTGTTTTATAGCAACACCTACACGTGAACCTGTGTGTTTTATAGCAACACCTACACATGAACCAGTGTGTTTTATAGCAACACCCACACGTGAAGCAGTGTGTTTTATAACACCTACACGTGAACCCGTGTGTTTTATAGAAACACCTACACGTGAACCCGTGTGTTTTATAGCAACACCTACACGTGAAGCAGTGTGTTTTATAGCAACCCCTACACGTGAACCCGTGTGTTTTATAACAACACCTACACGTGAACCCGTGTGTTTTAACAACAACACCTACACGTGAACCCGTGTGTTTTATAGCAACACCTACACGTGAACCCGTGTGTTTTATAGCAACACCTACACGTGAACCAGTGTGTTTAATGGCAACTCCTACACGTGAAGCAGTATGTTTTATAACAACACCTACACGTGAACCCGTGTGTTTTATAACACCTACACGTGAAGCAGTATGTTTTATAGCAACACCCACACGTGAACCCGTGTGTTTTATAACACCTACACGTGAAGCAGTGTGTTTTATAGCAACACCTACACGTGAACCAGTGTGTTTTATAGCAACACCCACACGTGAAGCAGTGTGTTTTATAACACCTACACGTGAACCAGTGTGTTTTATAGCAACACCTACACGTGAACCCTAGTGTTTTATAGCAACACCTACACATGAACCAGTGTGTTTTATAGCAACACCCACACGTGAAGCAGTGTGTTTTATAACACCTACACGTGAAGCAGTGTGTTTTATAGCAACACCTACACGTGAACCCTAGTGTTTTATAGCAACACCTACACATGAACCAGTGTGTTTTATAGCAACACCCACACGTGAAGCAGTGTGTTTTATAACACCTACACGTGAACCCGTGTGTTTTATAGCAACACCTACACGTGAACCCTAGTGTTTTATAGCAACACCTACACGTGAACCCGTGTGTTTTATAGCAACACCTACACGTGAACCCGTGTGTTTTATAGCAACACCTACACGTGAACCCGTGTGTTTTATAGCAACACCTACACGTGAACCAGTGTGTTTAATGGCAACTCCTACACGTGAAGCAGTATGTTTTATAACAACACCTACACGTGAACCCGTGTGTTTTATAGCAACACCTACACGTGAACCAGTGTGTTTTATAGCAACACCAACACGTGAACCCGTGTGTTTTATAACAACATCCACACGTGAACCCGTGTGTTTTATAACACCTACACGTGAAGCAGTGTGTTTTATAGCAACACCTACACGTGAACCCGTGTGTTTTATAGCAACACCTACACATGAACCAGTGTGTTTTATAGCAACACCCACACGTGAAGCAGTGTGTTTTATAACACCTACACGTGAAGCAGTGTGTTTTAAAGCAATACCTACACGTGAACCCGTGTGTTTTATAGCAACACCTACACGTGAACCAGTGTGTTTTACAGCAACACCTACACGTGAACCCGTGTGTTTTATAACAACACCTACACGTGAACCCGTGTGTTTTATAGCAACACCTACACGTGAACCCGTGTGTTTTATAGCAACACCTACACGTGAACCCGTGTGTTTTATAGCAACACCTACACGTGAACCAGTGTGTTTTATAGAAACACCCACACAAGAACCCGTGTGTTTTATAGCAACACCTACACGTGAACCAGTGTGTTTTATAGCAACACCTACACGTGAACCAGGGTGTTTAATGGCAACTCCTACACGTGAAGCAGTATGTTTTATAACAACACCTACACGTGAACCCGTGTGTTTTATAGCAACACCTACACGTGAACCAGTGTGTTTTATACCAACACCAACACGTGACCCGTGTGTTTTATAACAACACCCACACGTGAACCCGTGTGTTTTATAACACCTACACGTGAAGCAGTGTGTTTTATAGCAACACCTACACGTGAACCCGTGTGTTTTATAGCAACACCTACACGTGAAGCAGTGTGTTTTATAACACCTACACGTGAAGCAGTGTGTTTTATAGCAACACCTACACGTGAAGCCGTGTGTTTTATAGCAACACCTACACATGAACCAGTGTGTTTTATAGCAACACCCACACGTGAAGCAGTGTGTTTTATAACACCTACACGTGAAGCCGTGTGTTTTATAGCAACACCTACACGTGAACCCGTGTGTTTTATAGCAATACCTACACGTGAACCGGTGTGTTTTATAGCAACACCTACACGTGAACCCGTGTGTTTTATAACAACACCTACACGTG